TAGATAAAAATTATCTAAAATTACCTTATTTTGTGAGCTACCACCCCTATCAACTAACCATCAAGCCCCTCTATGTGACCTTCGCTCCTCGTCAGCCTGCCCATTTCAAGAGTCTTGGATTTTAAGGTTATAATACTATTACTAGCCAGTGTACAACATCTAAAGGGAGGGATTAAAAGGGGAGGGGATACAAGTTAACGGAAAGCTACAATTGGAATTCAAACATTTTAGATTTGACTGACATTTGGTATGGATTAGCAAGTTGAATCACAAAATCTCTTGTAATTGTTTTCGGGTCATACGGTGACAATGAACATATGTACAGTATTTGTAAAAGCATTTTATTTTTTAATTTGTTTCAGAAAACAATTATTAATTTCGTTATAATTTTCTCTACTACTAAGCGAGTAGTGTTATGAAAATTCAGAAGCTAAAACTATAGTAGACTACAAAAAGTTCAAATAAAATACGAAGAGGAAAAACATAGTAGAATCATCTTTGAGTCTCTGAAAAGTTTTAGTGTTAAAAGTGATGTTATTTTATATATAAAATAAATCATATTGTATGTAAGGACCTGTTGCATTGACTGAGGTCTTTGTGAAACATGACCTTATATAACCCTCATCTCTGGCACCATTAATGTGGTACATTTGGATTATGTAAATTATATGTAAAACTACTGTAATAAAGCATTTGAAGAAAAGAAATATACTTTTAAATTTAAAGCAAAAGTCCACTAAAAAAGATTTTTTTTAGAACAAATGCATATGCATTACTCTATTAATTATAAACAATGGAAATATATTGGCATAAATTTTAGTTTTACGCAAAAGAATAAAAAAAATGAGAAATACAGACTATTTTTCATAATTACCATTTTCTCAACGAATTCTTCGTTACTAGGCAAATTCAGAGGTTGTAGATCACATCCACTGGAATGCTCTCGCTTTTATGTATACTTTATACAGTCAATAAAGTGCATCTCGCACACTGCTATCGATCGAGTAGGCCTGAGATTGTTTGTTTAATTGTCAAAATCTCGGCCAGAATAATTTTTTAACAGATTTGAAATAATTCCTTTGAAATATTATATTTCACAAGTGTCAATACTAGCAACGGAAAATATCATGTCGGCCGTTTTTATGTGTAATAACAGAACCTAAATCGAGTGAAAGCTAGGCCTAGCCAAGCAGTGTTGGATAGGCTAATGTTTTTGGCGTCTACTATGTTTCTTCACAGACCTATCGCAAAATCAAACATGAAAAATCCATCCGCATTTTTTTTTTTGTGGAACACAAAAAAATCAAATTTCAGTCTTATTTTACATTTTTTTCATCTTTAGGAATGTCTAAATTCAGTTAAATTAGCAATTTCGTATTACATTTATAAATCTTTATAACATTGTTTGAAAATCAGATTTTTCCTAACAAGAGAAATCTTGCCAGAAATGGGGCTTTAATTATACACCATTTGTGTATAGCACAAAATGTGTACAATATACTGTACTTAAAAACAAAATTTGCATTGGTACTTCCGTAGTGTGACAAGTTTTAGTTCAAGGTAATATTTTGTAGGTTTGTATTGTAAAAATTATTAATTTGTGATATTGTAAACATGAAGATTAGGTAATTGAAACTTTTCTTTATGATAAAGGACCTGAAAGGATGGCGTTATGATTAAATTTTTTCATGCATTTGTGTGTTTCTGAATCAGTAAACATTTTTTTTTTTGTTTTTTTCCACTCACAGTAGTTTAATGATGGATTTAGATTTGATAATGCAATGTCCAATAATAAATACTAAAATATCTAACAATTATTTTAAAAATTTAACTTACTCATTTTGAAGTAACAAAAATTATCAACATGAACATAGAAATTATTGTATTTAAGATTTGAGGGCGCACAAGTGCTGAGTGAGCTGCTGCTTGTGACTAGAAAGTTTTTGTTTTTGTGGGTTTCCTTTTTTATTTAATTTTCCTCCTTTTGATGTTTGGATGTTCTTCTGTACTGTTTAGTGATTTAGTGAAGTCCTTTTTCTTTTGTTTTCGTGAGATTTTGATGTGTTTTTTCACTTGTTGACTTTTTCGTGCGTGTACTGTGGAAGCTAGCCCTTGACCTTGCTGATAGCTTACAATGACCCAAATTTTCGAAAGCGAATAAGACCATGCTGCTCATTGTGTTGAAGAAGGTGTTGATCCTACCAACTATGGCGGCCTACTGACTAAGCATAGACGTAGGTATAGGGGCTGACATGGGGGAAGAAAGATAAAACGGCGAATTCCTGTTTACACCGTATTTGTTAGGAATGACCAACTCCATACACACATTGAGCCTCGGACTTGGGTAAGAATTTCAATCAAGTTAGTTCTAGACCATACTAAGCAAAATGGCTAGGGAAAAGTCACCACCTGTCTGTGTTGTGGAAACCCAAGATCAGAACTGTAAATAATACTGTGAGCAAAATCAAAGTTCGTCCTTTTTATCCAACAAGCATTTGCAACTTCGAGTGAGGGATTTCCAGCCAGGACTGGACAGATATCACTTGCTGTTCTACAACCCAAGGGAAATGGATAAGTTGTATGAACTTTTGGACACTGCTATTAATGATTTTTTCCCAATTGAAGTAGTTAAAGATCCATAAGTCAGATAAACTTTGGGTTACTCAAGCCCTGCGAGACTTAATTGATAGGAGACAGTTAACCTTTTTTTAATAACACTACGGAATGAAGAAAACTTAGAAATGCAGTTAAGAGGGAAGTTGCTAAACTCAAGGCCATTTATTTTTGTAATTGTGTTAAGCACTTACAGTGTAGTGAACCATGCAAGTGGCATACACACAATAATTAAGACCATGGCATATATGGGTAATATTGTAATAAGGTCCTTAATGTTCTGGTTCAGGGTCTTTTGCCCTCAGATCATGTTTGGATTGCTAATGCAATAAATAACCAATTCACCAGTATTGCCTGTGAGTTGCCACCTTTAGATTATGACAAACTTCCTGCCTATCTTCCTTCCATTGATAGGATTCCCCAAATTCAGCCAAATTGAAAAAGGTAAAACCAAATAAAGCTGGGGGGGCCGGATTGTATCCCACCTAGAATTTTAAGGGAATTTGCAGTTGAATTAAGCAAGCCAATTTCTGATATTCTTAATTGTTTCTTTAGAGAAAGCAGGCTGCCTGTCCAATGGCAAAAAGCCATTGTCGTACACATCCCTAAAAATCAGCCACCAAGTATTGACAGGTTGAGGCCTATTTCTCTTACCTCCGCATTTGCAAAGGTTGCTGAAGAAGTTTGTATGTAACTGGATGCTTAATGACATCAGTCAATGTATTGACATTAGACAGTATGGCAATGTGAAGGGAGCCTCTACCTGTCACTACTTAGTGCGCCATTCATGACCTGTGCTGGCTTTGCATCTGACAGAAGTGGCAACATTGTGACGGTCATACTTACGTACTTCACTAAGGCCTTTGACCTCATTAATCACAATGTGCTAATATTCAAAATGATTGATATTGGAGTCTGTAGGTCGATCGTCCCATGGGTTTGCGACTTCCTTAGTCACAGAGAGCAGTGTGTAAAGTACAATAATTCTATGTCTTCTGTTTGTCTCAAGGGTGGTGTCCCACAAGGAACTAAGCTCGGACCTTTAGCTTTTCAGATTATGATCAATGAGGCTGCAATGAGTTCTAATACCACGTACTTATAATATGTTGATGATCTCTCATTTTATGAAAATCGACTTATATCACATGAAGGTTTCTTACAGAATGACCTTAATCAATTTCATGAGTGGTGTATTAATAATTCTCTGCTTTTAAATCCTAGTAAATGTAAAGCTATGCAAATATGCTTTGCTAAGAGCAATATCCCAGAACAAAGTTTTTACATTGGTGAATCCCATGTTGATTTTTGTGACGAAGCTTTAATATTAGGCGTCACTGTACAGAATGATTTAAAATGAATTAGCCATATTGACAGCATTAATGCTAAGGCTAACAGGAAAATATTCATTCTTAATAACCTTAACAAATTTGGGCTGAGCACAGTTGATCTTTGTGCTATTTATGCTGGATACATAAGACCTGTCCTCGAATATGCTGATGTGATATGGCACCCTGGAATATCACTAAAACACTTAGTGCAAAACTTGAGGCTACTCAGAAGCGTGCTTGCCGTATTATTTTAGGAAAGAACTATCAGACCTATGAACATGCTAGAACTCTTTGTAATTTGAGCCCCTCTATGATGAGAGGAGAGCAGCCCACTGCCTCAAATTTGCTAAAGGCCTTTCTCTTACTAATCATTCTGCTGATTTCCCCCTACCCGACAACAATCTCATGGTAGAAGTCTACGCAATGGAGTAATTATTCACAGCTTAAATGCAAAACCAAAAGATTTTCTAATAGTCCCATACCTTTTTACATTCAATTACTCAATTTCTCTTAATCCCTCCTCCCCCTTTAGGGCGATTGAGGCACTGGCTGCTCCCCTCTCTTAAAACAATCAAGTTTTCAAGTTGCTCCACTTGCACGTCTTTGTATATATATATATATATATATATAT